ATTCTATATATATCTTATACCTTATAATAACTCGCTCATTCTTTCTAATATTATTTGACCCTGAGACATACAGGGTGCGGCGGACGCCCCTGGGGATGGCTAGAAGGCGATGTCATCTTTATTCAATGACCTGGCGGTCTTATCGCTCGCTTTTATTTCTTGGAGAAAGACAAGGATGTCAGGCAGACGGGTTGCAGAACAGAGTTGCCTACAAAAAGTCCGAGCCCTACCACAGAAACATGTTATTCTTTTTTGTGTTTAGTTATTTCGGTTTGAGGCACAAGAGCCAAATCTACTCTTTGATATGTCAAACATAGTCGACTGTGCCACACAGATCAATTTTGCAGGTAGATACTCAGAGACGATGAGCAGGAAATAGCGAGTGACTGGAGAAGAAAATCAGAGAAAAGCGGTGAGAATTGTTGAGTGTGCGTGCGAGAATGATAAAGAAAGAAAAAGATAGTGAATGATAAAGAATTGGAAAAGAAAAAGAAGGAAAGTGATATGAATTTACAAAAACAGATATGAAGCGAGGTACATATGTACAAGGATAGATGGATATATAGATAGACAGACAAGAGAAATAAATAAAAAGAGGGAGTGGGAGAGGGAGAAAGAAAGATGGGAGAGAGTATATGTATGTATGTGAGAGTATATGTAACTGGAAACATTATTGGTGGTTATTACGAAGGAACTGAGCGTTTTTCTTTTCTTTCAAATTAGCCCAGACAGAAAAACAGAGAAAAGAGCGAAAGAGAGTGAAGATAAAAAGACAGAAAGTGCAAAAGATCGAAAGACAGTGAAAGAAGGATGCAGAGGGAGGGAGAGAAATGGTGAGAGACAGAGTGAGAGAAAGATAGTGAAAGGAGAGAAAAGACTGAAAGCAAAGAGAAATAGATAGAAAAACAGTGAAAGAACGAAAGAGAGGAAGGGAGAGAAAGAAAGAGGGAGATTCATTGTTTTATTGTCGAAGTTAAACAACATAATACTGTAGCTTGATAATCTCCTAATCTGCTATGTTTCGCTGGTTTTGTCTGTGCGTTATTTATCCGTCATTTCGGTTTTATAAGTATACATCATATAATACAACCGGCCCCTGATGGAAATGGAACGATGTTGTTATTTATTATCTTAATAAAAAATTTCGTCAATTGTTACTTCAGAGCTGAGATGTTCCTCCCTCAAGAGTCAACATAGGTAACATATTTGGGAATTTCTTGAAAGAAGAGACCAACTTCGTTTTTAAACGATTGCCGAGGTAATAACTGGGCCAGAGGGTCAAGGGATGGCCGCAAAGGGGGATTATTGCGTGAAAGTTCAAATTTGCCAAAAAATTAAATTCAACATGTAAGCTATTAAAGCTGTCTACATCTTTCGAAACTTTCTTCTGGATTGCCTCACACACAAACCTCACTCCCTAATATCTTAAAATTGTAACTTTTAATACGGATGAAGGTTAACCAAATTTTTCAATTAATTAATATTCATGAAAGGTATTGGTTCAAGTAAAAAAGTCAGTGTCACGAGCGGGATTTGAACCCACGACCTTCGGCTAAATACGCCGCTACTCTACCACTTGAGCTATAGTGACTTCGATCCGCTCGGGCACTAACTTCAGAAGTTGATCGGATCGAAGTCACGATAGCTCAAGTGGTAGATTAGCTGCGTGTTTAGCCGAAGGTCGTGGGTTCGAATCCCGCTTATGACACTGACTTTTTTATCTGAACCAATACCTTTCATAAACATTAATTAATTCAAAAATGTTAATTGGTCAATCGGACCACGAACTGTAATGGACTGAACCAAATTTTTGATTTTTAAACTTTTGGTTTCTTTTTCTAGATAAATAATTACAATTCATATTCAAATAATAAAAATATACTATCCATCTATTTATGTGTATTCAAAATAACAAAACAATCGATAAAAAACGGTCATTATCACATTGAAATACATATGAAAATAGACCCTCAATTTGTTTTTGTGTGTTTATTTTTAAGAAATCATGAAGCAGTTTTTTACTTGACCGGTTGAATAAATAGCACCAATTTAAATTAGGTGGTGTCGAAAAAAAAATCGTTCTGCAGGGTTTAATTCATAGACGAATGGAATTTAACCTTGAAATTTGTCCTTAATATTAATAGAACATTCACTTTTTGTTGGTTTTATGATTTATAAAGTATTTCGTTCCGAATTATAAATATGCATGTTTTCAGTCTTGTGATAAGTATGGATTGTTTCCAGTTATGTGTATGTATTTAGTAAATTTTATTTGATCTTGAAAAAAAGAGAAAAGATCCATTGGTTTATATTAATTATAAGATTGCAATTTTGATTATGTGTTTTTATTTAAAGCACGAAGTGTAAAAATAAATAAATGACGTTTATATGTCGATGCTTATTTTGGACTTAGTTTTTTTATCTTGTATGTATGGGGGGTTGAGGAGACGACGGAGAAACTAGAATCTGTGGCACATTATCAAGAATGTCAAGTGCGGACGGAATGCCCCGTTAAAGTTGGCTTCCCCAGCCGATTTTTATACGAACAATTAGGCCCAAATTAAACAATTAGGAAAAGGGCGGAAGAAGGGGCGAGAAGGATTGAATTATGATCCCCGCCTGGCTGACTTTTAAAAACATCCCGGCGGATTTATTGGATGAGCGCCTGTTTACGGGGGTAACTGACCCTGAACACTCCAGAGCTTTGCGGGTCTGTATAACTTACCACCCTCGACCGTCTTCACACTATGAAAGAGACACCAATCAAAAAACAAAAAAAATCCTCAACCATTTGTACAAAAAAGACTATATAACAATTTTTTTAAAAATCATTTTATCATGTTAAAAATATTTTATGACAATTAAGCACAGGGCTTAAGTGTGAGTTTTATAAAACTCAAGTAGGTTTTAATGTTTCGTTTTCTTTTGCCATGATTTCTCTTTTTGTCTGAACAACAGAACCAAGCGAAAACAAAAGTAATACCTGCTGCAAAATAAATGTACAAAAATATGGAAATGTTTGTACGGTTTATTTCTGACGTTCGTTTCTTATCTGATTTTCCTTTTCAGTTCTGCACATCTGCTGACCCTTGTTAATGATTTCAATCCGAAGCCGGACCAAAAATAAAGCCCAACTGCAAGATAAGACGGCTAAAATTATGCCAACTTTCGAAATGGCCTACTGCAAATCGCGAATGTGTTCTGATTTCACCCTGCGGGTTTTATTTGCTGCCTTTTATCCTTATAAATTTAATGGGAACGGTGTTTACTGTTTTTTAAATTTTTTTTTTTTTTTATAAGACGCTTGATTAAATTTGTAAAGAAAAGGTTATGAAAATTTGAGAAATATAACTTTCTATCAACAATTCACTAGAGTCGTGGTCCGCTCGACCAATTATACATGACAATTAATTAACGTTTTTAGTTGAGATGAAAAAAAGTTAATGGCACGAGAGGGATTCGAACCCACGACCTTCGGCTAGATACGCCCCTGCTCTACCACCTGAGCTATCGTGACCTCGATCCACTCGGACATCAACTCCCCATCTCAACCCCAATATAAATTTCTATCAACTTTAAATAATTTATTATTTTTTATGTAAATTATGATTAATAGGACCACCTAACACATACATATTTCTATTTACAAATTTTTCTCTCTCACNTATATCCTCGGTCACCAGATTTACTCCACTTGACTATTTTCTATGGGGCCATTGAAAAAAACAGAGTCTACGCCAATCATAACCCAGCAACCTCGGTTGAAGAACAGATAAATTCTATCTCCTTTGACTCTATCGCTCTGAGTACCGGTGAAGAATGGTTAAAAAGATTTTCAAACCTTTTGCCAAAACTTTGTCATTTTTTGACCAATTTAACATCCGGCTGTAGCATTGTTTGCAGCGTACAGAATCCTTTCAAATGATCTGTCAAGATGTATAGGGGCATATTTGAAACTTTGACACTGAACTGGGCTTGAGATACCCTGTATAATTTTCCTACAAAAAATGGTAAAAATTTGAAACTAGACTAAATAATATCAAACACGCATTTTTTTAAATTTTTTGCAATTCTTGAACCAATGAATATCAGCTGGCCATCTAAACAGACCACCCTGTATACCCTGTATGTATATATCGCTATCTGTCATACAGTCTATCTGTATATGACTATCTATCCATGTATACCTAGCAATCTCTTTCTCTGTAACACTCACACTCTCTCTTTCCAGTTTATTCTGGATATTTTTTTCTATCCCGTTATATATTTATCTATCTTTGTGTCTGTCAGTCCATCTATCTATCTATCTTTCTGTCTATTCATATATCTCTCTCTCACTATCTCTCTCTCTTTCTCTCTCTCTCCCTCTATATATCTAGCTACCTCTATCTACCATACTATCTGTTTTCCTACTACTTATCTATCTATCAAGAAATCTCTCTCTCTCTCTCTCTCTAACACTATCAATGAATGAAAAAGTACTTTATTAGATAAACAAAAGAGAGAAAAAAGCATGGTTATCAACCGTATGCCGGAGTCGGGCTATAAATTTTTAATAAACAAACAACACCTTCTTCTCAAGGAATAAACAAAAGAGATAAAAAAACAACAACTATATAAGTAAACTAAAATAACAATATATCTATGTATATTTACAACTTAAAAACATACAAATAACTCTCTCTAACACTATCTGTCACTATATATCTTTCGATCTATCTATCCTATTTATTCAGTAATCTCTTTCTGTATCACTCAAGCACTCACACCCTCTCTGTCTACTTATTTCTCTCCCTCAGTATATGTATGCAAATCTGTGAGTAAATCTGTCTACTCATCTAACAATCTCTCTCTCTCTCTCTCTCTCTCTCTCTCTCTCTCTCTCTCTCTCTCTCTCTCCTTTCTATCTACTTATTTATCTGTCTATATAAGTCTCTATTTACTTACCTATATCTGTCGCTATGTCTTGTCAAAAATGATCGGTAACGACGAAATTTCAGGTCACCACCCGGCAGACCAGATAAGTGGTCTGACTAAATCAAATAAACACGACAAAGGACAAACAATAATAACGCATCTGCATTGAACTGATAAAGTAAGGTCACCGAAATATCAGATAATTTTCTAAATTGAAAAAAGAAATTTTTTCCAAAGGCCAAGCTTAACACTTCGAAGGTGAGTTCATAAATTGGTTGTTAACAATTTTCTTTGTTAAATATGGCAAAATAAACTTATTTTCTAATTTTTCGATTAAATCAAAATCGAATCAATCTGTAAAAAAAGTCTGATTTCACAATAGTTGACAAACAAAAAAAAACGGTATCTATAAGGCAACATAAATCATTGCCCAATTTCCAAAAATCTCTTACAAAACTGATTTATTTAGTTTTTTATCTAACAAACAAAATTTACAGCAGGATGTACTTTGATGAACCTAGGTCAAAAGAATATCAAATCTGAGTCAAAACAAGATAAAGGTTAACGAGACGTTTGGGCCAGCTAAAACTATTACGTACGTATTGTATTGAAAAACAAATAAAATAATGTATGTATTTGCATTTTAACCGACGATTTTCGATTTTTAACAATACGTATTTTCAAGTGTAAATATCTATTTTAGTCAATTATTCTTTTTATCTAAGGTCTTAGTTATGATTAAAAAGTTGGTGTTAGGAGCGGGATTCGAACCCATGACCTTCGCTCAATACGTCGCGATAGCTCAACTGGCTAGAGCAGCCTCTCATGACACTAACTTTTTCAACACAACGAAGACCTTAGATTAAAAAAAAAATAAGTGAAACATTTAATACGGTACGACCGCTAAACATGTATGGATCAATGTAAATATGTAATTAATATTTATGAAAGATATTGGTTGAGATAAAAAAAAGTGTGTCACGAGCGGGATTCGAACCCACGACCTTCGGCTAAATACGCCGCTACTGTACCACTTGAGCTATCGTGACAACGATCCGTTCAACTTCTGAAGTTAGTGTCAGATATATTTAGCCGAAGGTCGTGGGTTCGAATCCCGCTCGTGGCACTGACTTTTTTATCTCAACCAATACCTTTCATAAATATTAATTAATTGAAAAATGTTAATTGTTCCATCGGACCACGAACTGTAATGGATTTAGTAAATATGTAATTTGAATTAAACCATCTTGTTTCGTACTAATTAATTTGTGTTTCTTTTTACAGAATTGAGCGAATTATGGCTTGCGCTGATAATGTTGAAGGGACTTTGAATTGTGGAAAGTTCGTTTTAACAACTTCACCCTGATTTATACCGCAGGTTAACATGGATGAGAGCGGAGGATCTACGCCGTCCGTCCGATTTAACTTTCATTTCATAACTTTCAACGGAAATCCCGACGGAACTCGGGGGTTTTCCTATCGCAAAACTGGAACAGCCGAACGACGAGAATCCAAAGGGGCCTCGCCTATTGTACAATTGTTTCAATTTAAAATGAATTTTCTCTCTTTGTAACTGCTTCTCGACATATCTAGTACACATTCAGATAAATATGATCATTGATGTTCAAACTCCAAGACGATATGGGACGTGAAAGCGTCTGTATTATATATATTTTATTTATGGTTTGAAAAATAAATGTGTACTAATATTAACCCATTTTAAATTAACTAATTTAAAACTGAATTGATTGTCATTAAGATATTTTAAAAGCAGCCCTTAAGAAAATGACAACCATTTAAATTTGCAACTCAATTATTGAAGTGTTTAATTTTTCGAACAGTCTCTAACTTGTAATATAATTTCGGTATGCCAGAAGTTTCTCTTTTGAAACAGGATAAAAATACAATAAATTTCCAAGGTTTCCTACTAATTGAATATAGGTGAAGTCATGAAAATGATACAGCAGAAACTACGTGTTGTAGGTAGCCATTATTCTATCGTTCATTCCGCTTTATAATTCAAATAAATCCGTTCATTTAAGAAATTAATTACTAATAAAAAATCAAAAGTTCATAATAGGAAACTTTTTGATACAGGCAAAGATATATTAATCACAAAGCAAACCTTGAGATTTCAAGGTGACTAGAATGATATTAAGAATCTCAAGGTCTCGTTTTCAAACATATACGATTAAACACACAAAAAATCATATCTTTTTATAAGCAATAGTAGTTTCTTCTGTCAGTCTTATTCTTAGCCCCATAATTAGTAGGAGAAACGAACCTACCCAATATATCACCGATATTTGTTTTCGTTTCTGTTTTGTAACTTCGTGTTAACGACCATTGATAGTCATAATATTTGTGTAATATATTGTGACAAAAAGCCCTGACAATAGTGAAAAATCCCTCACTCCGTTATTTTATAACAGCAAAGAAATAAAGACAATATCGTTGTACGTATTTTAAAATTAATATCAATAATTGACGCGATTATCTAGTGTTTAATCCAGTAATAATTACCGAGTAGAGCAGGGTCATGTAATTATCGCGAGAAAAAACTTATAATTTGTCTAGTATTTGTAGTATATAGTACGTATAGTAATTGAAGTTCGTATCTGTACGGTAATCATTGAAGTAGTAGTTTTTCATGTATTAAAACGTATATAAATTTAATAAATTATACAGATTTCTACAGTATTCTCGTGAAATCTAGGCTTGATTTCGTATAAACAGTGTTATGTATAATCATGCTATGTCGGAATTAACCGTTAATAATGAAAAGAGCAATAGGTAGTGTAATCATTAAATTAACCATCGGATGCTGTTAATAAATTGCTTCTACTGTTCAAGTATGTAATGTTCATAAAGTAGTATAATTTTAATTATCATTATATAATATTATACATCCTATTAAGTAAAAAACAATGTTATAGCTTATAATAATCAGTAAGACTAAGACGAAGAGACAAATTTGTTTTAGAGTTAACTGGTGACTATTTTATACAACATCGTGTAATATTTTCGCATTTTACGTTTTCCTATATTAAGATTGTACAAATCTCAAAATAGCGTCGGATAAAGAAATGAGTAAAATTAAATTAATAGGATTATTCAGAAATCGTGAGATGCGGTCTGGTGAACACTCATACATATACTCACATCAAAAACAATTTTAACTTCACAAATGCCATACTAAGACAGCCAAAAACCAGAATTAACGACATACATAAAGCCACAATAAATTTCAAAAGAAACATTTTAAACATAGAAATCACCACGAGCATTAAAAATATTAAGACATTAACACAAAAATTACACCAATTAAAACTCAGTGTCGCCAACATAATACCTATAGACATTTTAAAAGAATTTTACACACATCAAAAAGATGCATACAATGTTCACTTTAACCAAATTAAAAACAAACATATCATAAAATTAAATAATTTAATCAACAAACAAACACCTGTTAACACAAACAAATGGTTCCTAAACCTAACCAAAACTCACCAGACCGCATCGCACGATTTCTGAATAATTATCGATTAACGGTCACTAATCACCACACATTAATAAGATTATTCGAAAATCGTGAGATGCGGTCTGGTGTGACGTAGATTTCAGAAAAACATTTTTTTCATCGTGCTACGTTTCGATCTTTATTGAGATCATCTTCAGGGCCTGGGATTTATAAACATTGTTTATATTTAACAAATACATATAGGATGTGGAAAAAAGTGAATTTATACAATGCAAAAACTATCCTTTTTATGATTATTCAGAAATCGTAAGATGCGGTCTGGTGAGATGTAGGTTTCAGAAAAACATTTTCTTTATCGTGCCAACGTTTCAATCTTTATGGGGATCATCTTCAGGTCCTGGGATTTACAAACATTATTTAAATTTAACAAAAACATGAAGGATGTGGAAAAGAGTGAATTTATACATTGCAAATAAATATTTGTTTATATTCAATCAAAGTATTTCTACTCACCCAAACTGTTTGTAACCTGTTTGTTTTCTGCATTTTTTTTATCATTTCTGAATAATCATCGACAAACGGTCACTAATCACCACATATTTTTTTATATTGAATCAAAGTTAATATGCAAAGTAGGTCTTCGGATATTACGACCGTGTAAATAAATGTCAATTGAATAATAGTAAATTAGCAAGCATTTTCATGGTTTTTAATTGAATATACGTGGGAGATAGTTATAATTTAGACCGTATAAAGGTCAGTGTATAAGATAGAAAAATTAGCGAGCTTTTTAATCGAATATGTCTATGTTTAAATGTTTAATCGATATGTAATAATATCGTGGATACGTAAAAATGTACAAACAATTATGTAGTGACCTGCTGGCTGCTCAGGACACATGGGACTAGAAGGCAACGAGAAAGCGGACACCCTTGCTAGAAAATGGGCTGATATACCGCTGATAGGACCCGAATCCTTCTGCGCCATAGGAACCCACACATATCAATGAGTACTTCAGACTTAAGTGTAAAAAGAAAATGAAAGAATCATGGAATTATCTCATTGGACACAAACAATCCAAGAACCTCGTAACAAATTTCGGAAAGAAGTTACAGAATTTATAAAAGGAAAAATCTACAAATCTTAACAGGACACTGCAATCTAAATGGACACTTAAAGAAGATTGGAATGGTTCAAGAAGGCACGTGCAGATTCTGCAAAGACCAACGCACCTATTAACAAACCGTGGTGCTACACTTCCCCGCAGGAGGAAGAGTTTTGAGATGGACAATGTGATTGCAGAAGAAATTCAACGTCTGAAACCGGGCCTACTAATCCTTGATGAAATACGACTCATCGATGTGTTATAGACATAGAACGGGGGATACAATAACTCTTAAAGGGCGCAATACATTACATCACGGCTAAGACTAGATGTATGTATGTCTTATTATTATCGTTGTACACGTCTGTCGGACGAAAATTGATCTAAATTACAGGTCCATCAACCCGCAGACTGTATAAAAATCTAACAAGTATCTGTTATTCAATGCTATCGGGTTGTCCGGAAAATAATGCAGGATTTTAAGTTTTCATTAAAAAAAATCTATATAAAATATTCTGTTTACGTTTACAGGATTACTCATTTGTATGAATGTCAACACTTATTAATCCTCTTCCAAATGATATTGTTTGTTTACCTCTGTAGCATTCCGCTACTTGGAAATAATTCAGTCATCCTTATAATGTCAAAGCGAGAATTTCGTACGATTTTCTTTTACGAGTTTAAACTCGGCCGAAGCGGAGCCCAAACGGCTAGAAACATTAACCAAGTCTGGGGCGAGGGTTGTGTTAATGAGTGCACTGTGCAAAGGTGGTTTAAAAAATTTCGGGAGGGAGATTTCAGCCTTGAAGATGAAGAAGGTCGTGGAAGGCCTTCCTCTCTTAATGATGATGTTCTGCGATCAGTGGTGGAAGAAAACCCCAAAACAACTGTTCGAGAACTTGCAGAGCAACTCAAAGTCAGTAAAACGACCGTCGCTGACCACCTCAAGGCGATTGGAAAAGTGAAAAAACTCGAAAATTGGGTTCCACACTCATTAAACGATCGCCAAAAAAATCAGCGCTTTGATGTTTGTGCATCACTTCTTTGTCGAAACAAAAATGACCCATTTCTGGCCAGAATTGTTACATGTGACGAAAAGTGGATTCTCTACGATAACACTAGACGTTCTGGACAGTGGCTCGACAAAGGAGAAGCTCCAATACATTTTCCAAAGCCCCCAACTCATCAAAAAAAGGTAATGGTTACGGTATGGTGGGCTTCATTTGGTTTAATACACTACAGCTTCTTAAATCCTGGCGAAACCATCAATGCTGAATCATACTGTAACCAAATTAATACCATGCATCAGAAATTGGCAGTAATGAAGCCCTCTTTGGTCAATCGGAAAGGGCCCATTTTGTTGCATGACAACGCTCGACCACATGTGTCACGTGTAACGTCACAAAAATTATTGGAGCTTGGCTATGAAACTTTGCCTCACCCACCCTACTCTCCGGACCTCTCGCCTACTGACTACCATTTTTTTAGACACCTGGACCACTACTTACAACACATAATATTCAAAAATCAAACGGAACTGGAAAATGCATTTATTGACTTTATCAATTCTAAAAATTCTGAATTCTACTCAGACGGAATTAATAAGTTACCAACACGTTGGGAGAAATGTATTGAGAGTATGGGAAATTATTTTGATTAAAGAACATTGCTTTAAAGTAACTAGTTTCTTTTTTTTTGTTTAATACCAAAATCCTGCATTATTTTCCGGACAACCCAATATTAATCTTAAAACATCGTGTGTTTGGGAGGCATACGCCGCTGCTCTAACCATTTGAACTATCGTGACTTCGATCCACACCGACACCAACTCGCCATCATAACCTACAACCTAGCGAATTAAAAAATTGGCAAAAAGTAGGATAATGCGATAGGTTGTAGTTGAGGTGGGGAGCTGGTGTCCGATGGATATGGAAGTCCTCAAGTGGTTAAAGCAGTAGCGTATTGAGCAGAAGGTCGTGGGTTCGAATCCGCTCGTGACACCAACTTTTTCATCTCAACCAACACCTTACATAAAAAGAATATTTAATAGAAATAAGAAACTTGATCAATTAAACCACCAAACATAAATGGATTAATATTTAATAAGTAAAGAA